CGTGACTTATTTTACACATACGTGCGGGCTCGTATCCTCAAAAAGGGTGCTCAGGTCCTCGTGGTTCTCACGTAGATGGAAGTTTTTTTGGCGGAAAAGCGTTTTCGGGGACGGTCTATGCTAGGAGACTGGAACTTCACAGAGATCTTCCTTGGCAGCCTCAGATCCAAAGATTTTAAATTCAGCCTTCACGCACCTTCAGGTCTCACATATGCAGGCGTCAAAGTTTGAACTGGCATCATGCCAACTTCATATTGATCAATAAGCTGCAGAGAGCTGCAATTTTGCAGCTTTACTTGTCGCCTACTGTTGTGCCCATGAAGGTAAATTGCTTGTCAGCTCTTCTGCATCTCACGTACGAACACGTGAAAATTTCACGCATCGCTTTTGTAACTTCAGAATTGAACCAGCCGGAGGACCTGGATTTTCTGAGCATAACCGACGGTGGCCTTTGACCAAATATACGCAAAAACGACTTACAGATCACTTTTATGTCTCACATGTGTCTCACGTGTAGACGCGTAAAATTTGACGTAACTCCGTAACCAGAGCAGCTGGAGTGCTGAAACTTTCTGAGCGCTACCCAGGACTGCATTTGAGCAGCTGCGGGCGAAGAAGGCATTCACGTTGCCACTCACGTATGAACGCCTGAAACTTGACGTAACTCTGCAATCGAGGCATCCAGAGCGCTGAATTTTTTGGGCATGGATTGGGAGTCATTGTAATAATTTCTAACAGCCGTGGTGGCCAGACCCAATCCTTTTAGCTAGAAGCATCTGCCGGGAAGAACGTGCCGTTGGCGAAAAAAACCTGCGGAGGAACTGTGCAAAAAACGCATTTTCGTCCGGCAGCCGGTACGCTTTCTACTAAGTTTGCATTTATGTAATACAAAAACACACATTGTCGAGGTGTGATTTGTGCGTCTGTCTGTCTGCATGCCTTTCTGTCTATCGGTGTTACGCAAGCGAGAAGGCAGAAATTCGGCGAGGATGTTCCTTGCTCACATCTAACTTTAAAATTTTAAACTCAGCCTTCACTTGCTCCCAGGTCTCAAGTACGTGCACGTCAAGGTTTAAATTGACTCGTACGACCATGTGAAATTTGACGTTACCTCGCGATCGAAGCAGCTAGAGCATTGAAATTTTTTTAATGTGGCCTACGACCGTGTTTGAGCAGAAGCGCATAAAAAAGCCTTTACGTCTTACGTACGAACACGTGAAATTTGATGCAATCAGAGCAGCTACACTATCGAAATTTTCAGGGGTTGATCCTCAAAAGTGTTTGGGAGATCCACACGAGAAAAACCTTTCCGTTCCTCTCAATATGAACACGTGAAATTTAACGGAACTCCATAACTAAAGCGTCTAGAGTGCTGAATTTTTTTGGAAGTCATTGTAAGAACTGTTGACAGATGGGTTGGAAGTCATTGTAAGAACTGTTGGCAGATGTGGAATCATTGTTTTATTTGGAAGCATCTGCCGAAAAAAACAATGCCCTTAGCGACAATAATCTGCGGAGGAATTGTACAAAAAACGCATCTTCGTTCCGGCAGTCGGTGCACTTGCTAATTATGCATTTTTTGCATCTATG